ACTTTCAAATTAGAACACTGGAAAATGAAGCACAAACTAACTGCAAAGCAAGCAGAAAGCAATAATAAACATTAAACTTAAAATAAATGAAATAGAAAATAGACAAAGAACAGAAAGTAAACAAGACAAAAGTCAATTCTCTGGAACTATCAACAACAATATTAATAAACCTTAAACTAGATTGATGGAGAATAAAAGATAGAAGACTCAAATTACTATGGAATGAAAAAGGAGACATCATTAATAATTTTACAGAAATAAAAAAAATTAAAAGGAGAAGCTCTAAACAAGTATATGTCAATAAATTAGACACCTAAAAGAGTTCAACAAACTCCTAACCTACCAAAATTGACTTAATAATAAACAGAAGATGAGAACAAACTTATAACAAGAGAATGAGTCATTAATGAAAAACATCTCAAAAAGAAAAATCCCTACCCAGATGTCTTCAGTGATGATTTTTACTAAACATTTAAACTTGAATTAATAACAATTATTCACAAGCTCTTTAAAAGAAGAGGACAGACAACTCTTTTTATGATGCCAATGTTACACTGGCACCAAAACCAGACAAAGGCATCACAAGAAAATAAAACCACAGACTAATTTTTCTTATGACCATAGATACAATCCTCTTAAATAAACATAAACAAATCAAAACCAATAATATGTAAAAAAGAATGTACAGCATAACCAAGTAGAATTTATCTCAGGAATGCAAAGTTAATTTAGCATCCAAATACCAATTAATGTAAAATATCATCTCAATATTATTAAGGACATAAACCACATAATAATATCAATAAATGTAGAAAAACATTTGACCAAATCCAACAACTTTTCTGATAAAATCACTTTACAGACTAGAAAACGAAGGGAATTTTTCAAACATATTAAAGAAAGTCTATGAAAAACCCACAGGTATCATCATATTTAATGATGAGACAATGTTTTACTCCAAAAATTAGCAAAAAGACAAGGATATCTGTTGTTATCAACTCTATTCAACATTGTATTGGTAGTAAAATCAAGGCAATTAGGCAATTAGCACTAAAAAATTAGTTAAGCAATGTTACAGTATATAAAATAAATATACAAAAATTAACCATATTTATATAAACAACATATGAATAATCCAAAATTAAGTTAAATTTATTAATATTTTATTAATGATAACATCAAAAAGAAAAAATAGGAATAAATTTAAGAGAAGTAGTAAAAGATGTAATATTAAAACTACAATTTTTTAGGGAAATTTTAAAATATGTACATAAATAAAAAACATATTAATGATAGGAAGACTTAATATTTAGAAGATGAAAATAATGTTCAAGGTAATCTATAGACTCAATGTATATTTCAAATTATCTTGAAGAGTAGATTTAAAATGTTCCCAACACAAAGAAATGATAAATATTTGAGGCTATGAATATGTTAAGTACCAAAAATTGATCATTACATATTGTATTCATGCAGTAAAATATCACACATACCCGATAAATATGTACAATTATGTATCAATGAACATTAAAATAAGTAAAACAAAAGAACAAAGCAAAAAAAGTAATATAAAAAGAGCTGAAAAAATTATTTTAAAAAATCCAGGATGGCTTTTTTTCAGAAATTGCCAAGTGGTACTACAATTAATATGGAAATGTAAGGGACCAAAAATATTCAAATAATGCAAAAGAAAGAAACAAAGGAAAACTTGGGAGATACAAAGTAGACATGAGGGATATTGAAACAGAATAGATATAAATATAAGCCTATTAAAAATATAATTAATTAAGAATAAACTGAATATAATCCAATCAAAAACAGAGATTGTTGTACTAGATAGAAACACAGGATCTGGCTATGTGTTATCTAACAAGAAACAGGTTGATGATACCAAAATGTTGAAAGTAAAGTGGTAAAAGAAGCTTACCATACAAAAAAGGAACCATAAGAAAGTAGAGTGAGTATACTAATACATCTCAGATAAAATAGAATTTAAAACAAATAATGTATTAGAGGAAAAAAAGGTCAAATTTATAATGATAAAGGATCAATCTATCAGGAAAATATAACAACTACAAACATATTTGCACCTAACAAAATAGTTCCAAAATATATATAAAAAAAGTACTGACAGAAATGAAGTGAGAAATAAACAATTTAACAATAATAGTTAAAGACTTCAATATACTGCATTCTATAATGGGTAGAACCCCTAGACAGAGAATTCACAAGGAAAGAGAAGATAAACATTATAAACTGAGTAGTTCTAACGGATATCTATGGAGTGCTCCACTTAAAAATAACCAGATACCAGATACACATTCTTTTCAAATGTACATGGAGAGTTCAGCTCAATAGATCATATGTTAGGCCACAAAACAAGCCTAAATGAATGTAATAGTAAAAGCATACAAAGTATGTGCTTCAACCATAATGCAATAAATTTAGAAATAAATAACAGAAATTTGAGAAATCCACAAATATATGAAAATTAAATAACATACTCCCAAATAACCAATGTATCAAAAAACCTAGAACAAATAGAAATTTCTTTTTTATGAATAAAAATGAAAATAAAACATATCAATACTTATGGGATGTAGCTAAAGCAAAGCTTAGGTGGAAATGTACTGATGTCAGTATCTATGTCAAGAAAAGAAGAAAGACTTTATATCAATCATCTAACTTTCAAAATTAGAACACTGGAAAATGAAGCACAAACTAACTGCAAAGCAAGCAGAAAGCAATAATAAACATTAAACTTAAAATAAATGAAATAGAAAATAGACAAAGAACAGAAAGTAAACAAGACCAAAAGTCAATTCTCTGGAACTATCAACAAATTTAATAAACCTTAAACTAGATTGATGGAGAATAAAAGATAGAAGACTCAAATTACTATGGAATGAAAAAGGAGACATCATTAATAATTTTACAGAAATAAAAAAAATTAAAAGGAGAAGCTCTAAACAAGTATATGTCAATAAATTAGACACCTAAAAGAGTTCAACAAACTCCCCACCTACCAAAATTGACTTAATAATAAACAGAAGATGAGAACAAACTTATAACAAGAGAATGAGTCATTAATGAAAAACATCTCAAAAAGAAAAATCCCTACCCAGATGTCTTCAGTGATGATTTTTACTAAACATTTAAACTTGAATTAATAACAATTACTCACAAGCTCTTTAAAAAAAGAGGACAGACTTAACTCTTTTTATGATGCCAATGTTACACTGGCACCAAAACCAGACAAAGGCATCACAAGAAAATAAAACCACAGACTAATTTCTCTTATGACCATAGATACAATCCTCTTAAATAAACATAAACAAATCAAAACCAATAATATGTAAAAAAGAATGTACAGCATAACCAAGTAGAATTTATCTCAGGAAGGCAAAGTTAATTTAGCATCCAAATACCAATTAATGTAAAATATCATCTCAATATTATTAAGGACATAAACCACATAATAATATCAATAAATGTAGAAAAACATTTGACCAAATCCAACAACTTTTCTGATAAAATCACTTTACAGACTAGAAAATGAAGGGAACTTTTCAAACATATTAAAGAAAGTCTATGAAAAACCCACAGCTATCATCATACTTAATGATGAGACAATGTTTTACTCCAAAAATTAGCAAAAAGACAAGGATATCTGTTGTTATCAACTCTATTCAACATTGTATTGGTAGTAAAATCAAGGCAATTAGGCAATTAGCACTAAAAAATTAGTTAAGCAATGTTACAGTATATAAAATAAATATACAAAAATTAACCATATTTATATAAACAACATGAATAATCCAAAATTAAGTTAAATTTATTAATATTTTATTGATGATAACATCAAAAAGAATAAAATAGGAATAAATTTAAGAGAAGTAGTAAAAGATGTAATATTAAACTACAATTTTTTAGGGAAATTTTAAAATATGTACATGAATAAACATATTAATGATAGGAAGACTTAATATTTAGAAGATGAAAATAATGTTCAAGGTAATCTATAGACTCAATATATTTCAAATTATCTTGAAGAGTAGATTTAAAATGTTCCCAACACAAAGAAATGATAAATATTTGAGGCTATGAATATATTAAGTACCACAAATTGATCATTACATATTGTATTCATGCATTAAAATATCACACATACCCGATAAATATGTACAATTATGTATCAATGAACATTAAAATAAGTTAAACAAAAGAACAAAGCAAAAAAAGTAATATAAAAAGAGCTGAAAAAATTATTTTAAAAAATCCAGGATGGCTTTTTTTCAGAAATTGCCAAGTGGTACTACAATTAATATGGAAATGTAAGGGACCCAGAATAAACAAACAATCTTAAGAAAGAATAATGTTGATGTTTTCTGATTTCAAAACATACTATAATGCCACAGTAATCAAAACTCTATAGAACTGTCATAAGGATAGTGACATATATTAATGGAATAGAATTTCAAGTACAGAAATATTAGAACTACCTGAGACTTATAAAAGAAAAAAAAAAAGAAAAAGTACAGAAATAAACCCTTATATTTATAGTTAATTTTGATTTTTAATAAGAGTGTTAAGTCAACTGAATGGGAAAAGAATAATCTTTTTAACAAATGATAGTGGGGCAACTAGATTACTGATCAAAAAGAATGAATTTGGAGCTTCTACCTCATGCCATATATAAAAATTAACTCAAAATTGATGAAATATCTGCATGTTAAAGCTCTAACTGTAACACTCTTAGAAGAAAACATAAGAAAACATAGGGCATATTTAATTGATCTTATGAATATATTAGGAATGATTTCTTAAATATGACACCAAAAACAAAAAAAAAAATGGGATTGCATCAAATGGAAAACTTCTGTGTTTCAGATGATAACATAAATAGGTTGAGCAAAAACCCCACTCATTAAGAGAAGATATTTGTAAATTATATATCTGATAAGTGACTTTTATCCAGAATATAGAAAGAACTTTTACACCTCCACATTAGAAAGATAAAATATCCAAATAAAAAATGTACAAAGGATCCGAACAGACATTTCTGTAAATAAGATATATAAATAATCAGTGAGCACATGAAAGCATGTTTAACATTATTGTCTATTAGAGAAATGTAAATTAAAACCTTATTGTGATACCATTTCACATATACTAGGAGGGCAATAATAAAAACGTCAGATGATAGCAACTGTTGGCAAGAATGTGGAGAAATTGGAACCTTTATATTCCTTACACATGCTGGTGTAAATGTAGATAACGTAGCCATTTTTGGAAAACAGTCTGACAGTTCCTCCAAAACATCAATACCACATGACCCAACAATTCTACTCCTAACTATATATTCAAAAGAAATTAAGACTTATGTACACATAAAAACTTGTACACAAATATTCATAATAACATTATTCATAATAGCCTAAAATAAAAACAATGCAAATTTTCCCCAAGTGATGAATAATAAGGAAATGTGATATGTCCATACAATAGAATATTATAGAGCAATAAAAGTCAATGCAATGAGTACTGATGCATGCTGCAACATGGATGAACCTTAAAAATATTATGTTAAGTGAAGAAGGCAGTCACAAAAGACTATATGTTGTATAATTCTCTTTATATTAATATAAAATGGCCAGAATAGGCAAATCTATAGAAGCATAAGGTAAATAGTGTTCTCTAGGGGTGGGTGAGGTATGGGAAAATAGAGAGTGATTGCTAATGGATACCAGATTTCTTTTCATGTTGATAAGATCAATCTTAAGTTGATTATGGTGGTGGTTGCAGAAGTCTGTAATATACTAAAAATCAAAGAGTTACATATACAGTTTAGATGGCTAAATTGTATCAGTTGAATTATATTTTAATAAATCTGCATTTAAAAGGGAATCTAAAAAATTCAAAATAAATTAAAATTTTAGAACTAAAAATAATCCAAAAATAAGAATGATACATTTAGGAGCATAAATAAATAATGGTGAATAAATAATTAGTGAATTAAAAGTCACAATTTTTGAAAGACATGCACTCTTTGTTTAATAATCACCAAGAATGTTAAGAAAGAGAAAGAAAATAAAAACAACACTTAGTACATCATGGTAAAATCACTAAAAAACCCACAGATAAAACAAAATTGCAAAAGCTCCAGTAGTAGTAAAGGGAGATTACTTACAAAGGGTTAGCAATAAGGTGGACAGATGACTTCTCAATAGAAACAATGAATGCACATAACCATGGACTGCTATCTTCAAAATAATAAAATAATAAATAAATAATAAAATAATAATAAAATAATTTCCAATCTAGCATTCTATACCAAATAAAAATATCCCTTAAAAAATGTGACTTAGACTGTTATTTTGAAGGTTTAATAGTGTAGAATAAACATTTAAGTATAATAGCATGAGTTGAATGTGAATATAACTGTAGGAAGTCTAAGAATGGAGTTGTAAATTATGTATGGAAATATTAGTGTATAAATGACAGCCTCATAATAATAGTGACATGTAAGTAAAATCTGACAAAATCATCTATGTTCAAGGAAGCCAAACGATGTCACAAAAGTGTGCATGTGTGTTATGTGTGTGTGTGTGCCTGAGAGAGAGAGAGCAAGGGAGCAAGCAGAGCATTCATGGAGTGGTATATGAAAATGATTGAGAAAGTGAAGACAATTTGCTAATGAATAGAAATATAAAATGGATTTATATATTCAGAGAAATGCTTTGATGATTGATTAAAAATAAAATCAAATGGAAGAATGGAAACAGATGAATATCAAATGAATAGGCAAGAGTCAAATTCTAATGAATTTCTTAATGATTTTCAACTGGCTTGTGTGTATGTGTGTGTATGTGAGGTGGATATTAGTAACAACTGGTACTTATGTTAAAAATACATTTATGTTATTCATTCAGATACTCAAAATAATTCTGATAGTTTTGCGGTATGTAAACTTTGAAAAAGTTTCTCAAGTAACTCTGATAATATTATAATGATGATGACATCAGTTATGTATAATTAATATAAGGTGGGATATATTATTTTTAGTTCAATTAACATTGAGTATTTACTATATGCCAGGGCAATTGACAATGTTGGTGTCCTGTTCATATCCCTTATCACACAAATACTACGAGTATTTTTTGCAAATGACTCATATTTACTTCCTTCTATGGTGAATTGCTCTCAGCCACTAATAGCTTCTTCACCTCTGATGCTCCACAAGTAATGACTGACAGATGTGAGGAGAATTGTTCTCTTTTTTCTCACAGAGGAATAATACTGTAGTGTGATTTATATTTGTAAGGGAAAATGAATTTGTGTAGGCAACAGGTTTCTTAGGCCAAATTAAGATGACTGCTATAGTGTTTTCTCTAGCCTACTACCCCACCCCCCAACCCCTGGCTAGTGGGCCTTCTGGGAGGCCTGAGTCAGCATGTTCATGTAACCAAGGTGTTATCTCCTATGTTAACCCATATGATCAGGTTTTCCCATGGCATGTTGCCACTATAATTCAGAACCATATATAAGCACTTGACATGTTCTCAGCCATGCTTTTTACTGCTAATGTATCCCCGCCCCCTCGACAATAAAGAGCATGTCTCACCTGCCCACTGCCACACATCTTTCCTTCCAATTTCCAAAGCCTGCACCAAAACACAGGCTAGCCACAGAGCATCCTCCTCACGATGTTCAAGAGCACTGTGTGAATCAAGAAAAGGCTAGATATTACTGGAGACCTCATTCTTGTTTTTCTAAAAATATTTTACTCCTTTACAGGTTTTCTTGAAGATAATTCCCTAAAGAAACCATGTGCACGTAAGATCTTATCACATTTCTGCTTCTAAAGCATACAACCTAAGATATTACCAGAAGTGTTCCTAATTCGATGGGAAGCACTGAAATCAAGGAGAGAGAGGGAAACAAGGGAGTAGTTCAGCTGGAATTGGCTGGGAGTCTGGAGCAGGTCCTTAATGTGGGGAAAGTGTAAGTAAGTGAGAGACCCCCAGTGGTCCACATTCCCACCACAAATGCCTAAAATCCTAGTCATAGGAGAGCCCCTTGACCTTCTAGGACTTTGGACTAACACAGGGAATTGCCTAGAGACTGTGTGAAAGCATTGCTCCAGAGAGAGAGAGAGCATGTTGGATCCCATAAATTTTCAAGTCCTGAGGAGCTGCAGAACAATATTATTTTGAGATTACAGCTCCCATCAGACCATGACACCAGGGCCAACATGGGGGCAACAAGCCGTGATCTTGCCCCTACCACCAGAGGGGCAGCTTCATTTTTTCACATACTCTGAGAACAAATTCCACTGCCTGCAACTGCAGTTGCTACAGGCTGCTGCAGGTCCAAGGACTGAAAGAATCCAATGCTCCCCAGCTGCCAGCTTATAGCTGCTCCCAGGGAAGGTGGCCTCATCCTCCCCAGTAGCAGGGTTGCAACATAGCCTCTGCTGCCCCCACCTGAGTGTTCTGTTAGCAGCTTGGAGATTATCCCACCCTTGCCTACTACAGTCAGTACCTGCCCACACTACTGAGGTGATCTGAGGAAAGGTCTGCCCAGGCCAGCTCCACTCATCCCAAGTAGCCAAGCACACTGTTAGGAACCTGGGGATTACCCATTTATGCCATCCAGAGACCCAGATGCCATCCAGGGACCTAGCTCGACTCATCATCAATGGCAACTGAGCACTCTTTCTGGGGTTTGAGGTCAGATCCACTCAACTTGCTGGTACTATGGCAACTGGCATCAACGTGCATGCACCACCTGAAAGACTAGACACAAGCCCGCCCAACTAATTGCAGCCACTATCAACACCATCATGGACCACTTGGGTCCCAGGTGGTTGATCCACTATTGTTACTGTCATCATGAGCACCAGGTCCAAGGGCTTGAAAACACATCTACCTGCTAGACTCACCAATGCCATTCCAGACATCCAAACAAATAACCTAAAGGCCTAAGAATTGACCTGCCTGAAACTGCTAACACTGGGACCAGTGTACAATATCTTGGGGCCCAAGAGCAGGCATGCTCGGCCCACCACTACCACCACTGAGGCCAATAGACTGGCATGCCAATCTCCAGCAAAACTTCACCAGATCCTCCAGTAACAACCAAACCCTAAGTCACCAAAGAAATCACAAGACACCACTGACACTGTTAACAGCCAAAAAGATCATAGGCAGACTACACTACTGGTTTAATAATAGACTAGATTAAGCAGAAGAAAGAATTTCAAAACTTGAAGATGAATCTTTTGAAATAACCAAGTTAGACAAATTTTCTTTTTTAGGAAAAAAAATGAGCAAAGAAATAATGACATACGGAACACCGTAAAGCAACTAAATATTTGAATTTTTGTCCCAGAAGGCAAATAGAAAATGAAAGGGTTAAAAAGCCTTTTTAACAAAATGATAGGTGAAAATTTCTCAAGTCTAGTGAGAGATTTAGATATTCAGATACAGAAGGCTCAAAGATCCCCAAATAGTTATAATAATTCAAAATGGTCTATTCCGTGGCATATTATAATCAAACTATGAAAAGTAAAAGACAAAGAGAAAAATCTAAAACAGCAAGAGAAAAGTTTCTAGTCACCTATAGGAAATCTAAAAACAGCAAGAAAAAAGTGGCTAGTCACCTATAAAGGAAACTTCATAAGACTAACAGCAGAGTTCCTAGCAGACATCTTACAGGCCAGGAGAGAATGGGAGGATATATTTAAAATAATGAAAGAAAAAAAAAAAACATGCTCAATCAAGGATACTATACCCAGGAACATTATCCTTTATAAATGAAGGAAAAATAAAGTCTTTCCCAGGTAAGCAAAAGCTGGTAGAATTCATCATCATTATTAATAGGCTGGCCTTACAAGAAAGGACTTAAGGGAGTACTGTACCTGGAAGTGAAAATATAATAATTACCACCATGAAAACACACAAAAATATAAAGACAACTGGCACAGCAAACACACAAATAAGGAAGAGAAAAAACTCCAATGTTACCACTACTGTATACCATCAAACTACAATGATAAACAATAATATAAAAAGAAAGGGACAAGGGATATAGAAAACAATCGGAAATTAAGTAGTAGAATGATAGTAATACACTCTCACATATCAATAATAATGTAAAATGTAAATAGATTAAACTTTCCTCTTAAAAGATATAGACTAGAACAATAGGTTAAAAGGTTGACCCAAATATATGCTGCCTACAAGAAATTCATCTCACCTGTAAAGACACATATAAACTAAAAATAAAGGGATAAAGAAATATATTCCATGCAAATGGAGAGCAAAAGTAACAGAAGTAGCTATACATATATTACAAAAAACAGACTTTAAGTCAAACACAGTAAAACAAAACAAAACAAAAAAGATAAAAGATAAAAAAGAGAAATAAACAAAAATGTTATATAATCATAAAGTGCTTAATTCAGCAAAAATAGATAATTCTAAACATATATACACCCAATGTCAGAGCACCCTGATATATAAAGCAAAGATTATTAGATCTAAATAGAGAGATTGACTCCAATATAATAACAGTTGGGGTTTTCACCACCCCACTCTAACCATTAGACAGATTATCTAGACAAAATAATTAACAAATAAACATGTCATTTAGACTGCACTTTAGACCAAAGGGACTTAACAGACATTTACAGAAATAAAAAGAGGAACTTTGGAAATTTTACAAATACATAAAAAGTAAACAACATGCTCCTGAATTGCAATTGGGTCAAGGAAGAAATTAAGGAGAAAATCATAAACAGTCCTGTAACAAAGAAAATGGAAACACAATGTTCCAAAGCTTATGCAATTCAACAAAAGCAGTGCTAGGAAAGAATTCTATAGCAATAAATGCCTCCATCAAGAATTAGAAAGATTTAAAGTAGACAATCTAATGACATACTTCAAGGAGCTAGAAAAGCAAGAAAAAAACAAACCCACAATTAGTGGAAACAAAGAAATTATAAAGATCAGAGCTGAACTAAATGAAATAGAGAATAAAAAAATACAAAGGATCAACAAAAAGAAAAGTTGTTTTTTGAAATGATAAGCAAAATCAAGAAATAATTTACTGCAATTACCAGGAATAAGAGAGACAGAAGACCAGAACAATATAAAAAATGAAAAATGAGCCATTAAACAGATACCACAGAAATATAAAAGACCATCTGAGAGTATTATAAACAACTATACACTAACAAACTAGAAAACCTAGAGGAAATGGTTGAATTCCTGGATACATACAACCTACCAAGGTGGAATCGGGAGAAATAAAAAACCTAAACAGAGTGATAATAGGTAATGAGATTAAATCAGTAATAAGAAATCTATCAACAAAGAAAAGTCCAGAAATGGATGACTTCACTACCAAACTCTGCCAAAGATTTAAAGAAGAATTAACACAAGTTCTCCTTAAAGTATTCCAAAAAAACTGAAGAGGAGGGAATTCTAGCTAACTCATTCTATGAATCCAGGATTGCCCTGATACCAAAACAAAGCAAGCACACAACAACAACCAAAAAAGATACTACTAGCCAATACCCCTGATGAAGAATTTGTTTAATTGGGGGTATGCTCCCCTGGCCAGTGCCAAGCAAGATGGTTCCATTATAAGTTTTGAGATGATTATCCATGTTAAGTGAAGTAGAAATGCCATAGATATCATGTAAGACTATGGAAAAGGGATCAGAAGGCTCAGACAAAAAATCCTCAACAAAATACTTGCCAACTGAATGCAACAACACATCAAAAAAAAAAAAAAATCATGATCAATTAGGATTTATACCAGGGATGTAAAGATGGTTTCACATATGCAAATCAATAAATGTGATACATGACATCAACAGAATAAAGAACAAAAAACATTTGATCATCTCGATAGACACAGAAAAAGCATTTGATCATTAATCATAAGGAAAACTCATATCAAAACCAGAATGAGATAACATCTTACCCCAGTTAGATTGGCTATTATTAAAAAGACAAAAAAAAAAAAATACCAGATGCTGGTGAGGATGTGGAGTAAAGGGAACTCTTATATACTGTTGCTGGGAATGTAAATTAGTACAGCAATTATGGAAAACAGTATGTGTATGTAGTTTCCTCAAAAACTAAAAATAGAGCTAAAATATGATTCAGCAATCCCACTACTGGGTATTTATTCATAGGAAAGGAAATGAGTTTATCAAAGGAATAGCTACATTTGCATGTTTACTATAGTAGCATTCACAATAGCAAAGATATGCAATAAATCTAAATGTCTATCAATGGACAAATGGATACGTAAAATGTGATATAGATACACAACTGAATACCATTCAGCCATCAAAAAGAATTAAGTCATGTCATTTGCAGCAATGTAGATGGAACTAAAGGTCATTATGTTAAGTGAAATAAGCCAGACACAGAAAGAAAAATTTTACATGTTCTCATTCATATATGAGAGCTAAAAAAGTTGATTTCATGGAACTAGAGAGTAGAATGATGGATACCAGAGGCTGGGAAGGGTTTATGGGTGGCGGTGGATGCATAGAGTGAAGAGAGGGTACTCAATGGGAACAAACATATAGTTAAATAAAAGGAAAAATTTCTAAAATTTGATAGCAGAGTTGGGTGATTATAGTTAACAACAATGTATTGCATATTTCAAAGTAGCTAGAAAAGAGAACTTTAAATGGTCCCAACACATAGAAGTAATAAATGTGCAATATGATGGGTACCCCAAATACCCTGACTTGATCATTACACATTCCATACATGCAACAAAATATCACACGTACCCCATAAATATGTAAAATATTATGTATCAATAAAAAAGAAATCTTATGAAATTGGGTTGCTATGGGTAAATAGAATCGATGATTTGAAGAAGGAAAATAATAGGCTTAGGCTGGTTAATCACAAATTTAAAGCAAAATATAAGTCAGACAGTGTACCTGGCAGCATTTAGAGACTTTTATCTCCTATAGTTGGATGATAGACAATATAGAAATCTGAATCCAAGACTTTTTTGTAAGATTGGCATAAATTCTTAGCCTCAGCATGTCTCCAATGCCACAGTCATGCTCCTGATATTAAAAAGGTTAGATCCTGATATAGGATGGGGATATTGTGATAGATAACCATGAAGAATCTTGAGCTAAATCCAAGATCTCCTGAATTCTTGGATCCCGGACAAGTGACCCACTGTCCTTTGTTGGAAGATAGAAATTCTTTCTTTCTTGAAGACTGTGTGGAATTACCATACAGTCAGGTACCTTAAAAAACTATGCTTGCTCTCCTCAATGTCTGTCCATAAGACCCTGTAGTCACCAGACCAACAACAAGGGTCAAATTTTAACATGATTCAAATGGAGTACTGCTGGCCTTACTTAAGGAATATAAGGGTATATGCTAAGGAGTTAGAGTAGTTGCCTAACATATAACTTTGAACTATGAGGGAAGTGTTCCTGGTGGTGGATTCTGAGTAGATTTGGAGGAATGGCATATAAATTTGGATAAGACTTTGTTGATGTAGAGCTACTATCCCCTGGTCAATGCCAGGAGAGATAGTTCCAGTATGAATTTTGAGTTGATTTTTGAAAAAAAAATGATGGTCCATATTAAATGAAGTAGAAATGCCAGAAATGTCATGTAGACTGTGGAAAAGGCATCAGAAGACTCAGAGAAGTGGGCATGGTTCAATGAGTCTACTAAGGAAACCAAGGAAATCTACCAGTTGACTGTGCTTCCAGAGGTGCAGAAGTCGACAGAGTACCATGCAAAAATAAGGGGTACATTGTTCAGGGTAAGACCAGCATTGTTGGGAAACTCATTAATGCCTATCCTCTATGGGCTAAACAAAAAAGCTGCTATTATAGGACCAGCCCTCTTTATAACAACAGAGTCTGATACAATTACAGAAGAGCAGGGACTACCTGGGAACACTTAATCATCCAAAGCAAGATGGGAATAATTATAGCAATGGGCAACAAGATTGGAATGGCAGTTAGGCACCTTGACCTGCAGGGAGACAGTTAATAAGTACTAGGAGTTCCTATGGGCAAGATATTACAGAAGCTAACCAGGGTATTGTAATCCCTTGCACATTTCCTGAAACTTGTGATTCCTCAGACATATAATCCATTAACTAAAGGAAAAGTCATATTCTTTTGAGGAAAAACTTTCCTCTTGAGAAACATATTGCGCTAGACCAAATGTATACAATAATGGTTCTATCAGCTCATCCCCACAGACATCTATATCCATAAGCTGGGGAAAAGGAAAGTCTCAGATATTCCAAGGACTCTGGACACAAGAGTCTGAGTTGACACTGATAATCAGGGACCAAAATACCATGATGGTCCTTAGAGGAGGGACACATTAGAGCTCAGAAAATAAATGAATTATTGCCCCAGATTTATCTTGCACTGGGACTACCAAATCCTCAGACCCACCAAGTGGTGATATCCCTTGTTCCCAGATGGATAATGGTGATAAACATACTAAACTAGGCAAATCCCTCAATCTGTTCCTTACCATGTGTTGTAAAAGTTACGCTAGTCGGAAAAAACAAGTGGAATCTCCTGAAACTCTTCCCCCTTTATAAAAGATAAGTAAAAAATGATATTGTATTCCAGAGGAAATGGTAAAATTAGTGTCACTGTTAAAGATATAAATGATGCAAACGTAATGGTATTCATCATATGTCCCTATTTAATTTAGCCACATAGGCCCTGAAAAAAACTAGTTAGATTGTGGCAGATGACTACAGAATACCAAATCCTAGTCATAGCCCTGATAATATCTGCTGTGCTGGATATAATATATTTTCTAGAGAAGATTGCTACAGCCTCAGGTACATAATATGTCACTTTTAATCTTGTACATATATTCTTTTCCATACTTATCAGGAAAGCCATCAAAGCAGTTTGCATTTACATAGGATATACAACAATATGTATTCACACTCTTGTTCTAGGTCTTTGTTAATTCTACTGCTATCTGTCACAATAGAAAAAAAGTGAAGAAATAAATTGTCATCTCTATTAGTTTCTTTTTTAGGATCTTGGAGTCTAATGTGAGTCCCAGTGGCAAAGTCCTTGTCATACACCCACACCCACAACATTCCCAACAAGGCCAATGGAATTCCAATTGATGCCTCTCCCTTGCTTTTATACACTGTGTACACACACACACACACACACACACACACACACACACACACACACACAACCATATATACATACCCCTGAACACCTCACCCCCACCATATATTTATTTATATGTTACAGTGTTTTATATTTTTGAAGCAATGCCATATATTTTCTTCCTTGTGGACAACTTTGAAGATTAGATATTTTTTTCTATGCATATATTTAGAGAATAGGGCTTAGAAAACTGTAACTTGCAAAAGTTATATAAAATATAAAGCCATTACGATATTTATTTACAATCCATGCTCCCAGCCTTCTCCCTCCGTGACTGAGGCTGTTACTAACACCTCTGAGAAGTATACTCTAACAAAGGAATTTTAAACTATGACTATGGGCATTTTCAGAAAATATTGCACTCTAATGTTCAGGAAAGAGAAGAAGATAATTATGTTTTAGTTATTCATATTGATCTTCCACTTTGTTTGAGGTGATTTGATTTCCTTAAACTCTTCAGTTCATTTGTTTCCTATCAATGTGCCTCTGTTTTTACATAGTTAGAAGTAGGATGATATTAATTCTTCCAATTAATGAATGTGAGATATCTTTCCATTTATTTGTATTGTCTTCAGTTTCTTCATCAATTTTTAATATCTTTTACATTCTTTGTTAAATGCACACCTAAGTATTTTATTTTTTTAATACTATTGTAAATGGTGGTGTTTTCTTAATTTCTTTTCTGGATAGCTTGTTATTAGTGTATAGAAATTAATGTTATTAAAGTTTCTGTATATGCAAAGCAATCTACAGATTCAACATAATCCCTATTAAAATTTTAATGGCATTTTTCACAGAAATAGAAAAAAATTTAAAATATGTATGAAAACACAGAAGACCCCAAATAGCCAAAACAATCTTGAGTAAAAATGACAAAGCTAGAGATTTCACACTACCTAACTTCAAGATCTATTACAACTTATAATATCAAAACAGCATGGTGCTGGCATAAAAACAGACATATCAAGCAATGGAACGGGACAAAAAGCCCAGAAATAAACTCACACATTTATGATCAATTGATTTTGTGTTATTTCTTTGTTCCTCTCTTTCTCTCTTGCTGTCTTTCTTTGTGACTTAATGATTTTTTTTAATAGTAGTATGCTTTGATTTTCTTTCTCTTTATCTTTTGTGTATCTATAACAGGTTCCTTCATTGTGGTTACTATCAGGCTTACATAAAACATTTTATAATTATAAGTCACTTTAGGCTGGTAACAAATTAATTTTGACTGCATACAAAAACTCTACACTTCAAATTCTTCTCCCTCCTCATTTTATATTATTGATGTCACAATGTACATCTTTTATACATCACATATTGATTGGCAAATTATTATAGCTGTAGTTATTTTAATACATTTTCTTTTAACTGTTATACTACAGTTAAAATGATTTATACTCTACCAATACAGTATTACAGTGTTCTGACTTTGACAATATTCTTACCTTTGTGGTGATTTTTATACTTTCAGCATTTCTTATAAAGCAGTTCTACTGATGATGAACTTGCAAAGCTTTCTTCTTTTTTTTATTATTGTCAGAGAAAATCCCTATGTCTCCTTTATTTCTGAAAAACAGCCTAGTAATTACTAGGTATAGTACTGTTTTTGTTGGAATTTTTTCCTTCATTTCTTTGAATATATTATCACAGTCTCTCTAGCCTGCAACGTTTCTGCTAAGAAATACACCATAAGACTGATAATCTCATTGAGATTCCCTTGCACATGAAAAGCTGCTTTGCTTTTGTTTTCAAAATTCTCTCATTGCTTTTGACTTTTGAGCATTTGATTATAAAGTATCTTTGTGAAATCTTTATATTTAATTTATTTGGGGATTCATGGATTTGGATATTTATTTCTCTTTCCAGATTTGAAAAGCTTTCTGTTATTGTTTCTTTAAGTAAGCATTTAGTCAGTTCTTTTTCTCTGATCCTTCTGTAATTTCCATAATATATATATATATATGGGTTTGCTTGATGTTGTTCCATAAGTCCTATAGGCTACCTTTAGTCTTTTTTATCCTTTTTAATTTTGATTATTTCAACTGTAAAATTTCAAATGACTTGTCTCTGTATTTACTGATTCTTTCTTTTTTCCTGATCAAGTCTGCTGTTGAAGTTCTCTGTGGAAGTTTTCAGTTTAGTAACTGTGTTCTTTAACTCCAGAATGTCTGTTTTATTCATTTTTATTATTTCTCTATCTGTTAAACTTGTCACTTTTTTCCTAAATTGACTACTGTTTTTTTTCTTTTTCTTTTCTTTTTCCTTTTAGTTGCCTACCTGTATTTCTTGTAGCTCGCTGGGTTTCTTTAAGATGCCTATTTTGAATTCTTTCTTGGGCAGCTTGTAGATCTCCATTTCTTTAGGGTCGATTATTCATGTTTAATTTTTCTCCATTGGTAGTATCATAATTCCTTGATCATATATGATTCTTGTGGCTTTTCACTGATACCTAGACTATTGAAGAAGTAGGCACCTATTCCAGTCTTTGCAGTCTAGCTTTGGCAGAGAAAGCCCTTTACCAGTCAATCTGTCCACAAATTCTTGGTGGGCTTTCTGAAGGGATCTATAGGCAGATTTGCTACTGGAGTACTCAAACAGGCTAGCAGATGGACAGGGGCTGATCTTTTGCTGGAGTTGGCTATGAGTCTGAGTCCATCAGTACTGAATAGGCACAGTGATAGACCCGGTGCCTGTCTCTACAAGGAATTTAGAATGTAGAATTCCTGTCTCTGGCATTTGAGTTTTGCTTTACAAAATCAAATATTGTCTTAAAGTTTATGGAATCTGATTAAGATGCTCTTAAGGGACATACTATTCAGTGGAAAAGGGGATTACAGATCATGTATTTGGGGTGGCAGTTATTTATAAATGGTAAGGCCACTTCATGCTTATTCTTCAGTGACATTAAATTATGCAATAAACCAATTAAATGAAGAATCTATTAGAAAGTAATTTTGTATCATATTGAGCTGATGAAATGGCTAGAGAACTAGATATAGAGTTAGGATAGTTGGAAGAAAAAGCAACAGGAACACTACAACTCTTGTGACATCATCATGAAAATGAATGTTCTCTAATTATTTCTTACTTTTTTATGTGATTTAGCTCAAGATGTAAGTACTAGGAGAAGTCCATTTGGCTGAAATTAGGTCACAGATAAAACTGTTGCCCATGTGAAATGTCTGCCAACAAGAATTTATTAGAATATCTGAGGGTCATTTGTTTTTGTAGCAGAAGAACATGACATTTGAATTTACTGACCTACAGGACTGGACCCAATGGCATAGAGTTAATTTTCTAAAATGAAATATGGTTGTCAGAAAGGAGGAAGTAAAAAATAAATGAATAAACAAACATCTATTATTTTGAATTGGACACAAAAAAGGACCAGGCTTGAGCAATAAGTCAGAAAACAATTTAATAGATCACTAGGTCCTCAATGTATGATGACTAGAGAATACTGAGTCTGGTGTGTTTACAGTTAGAAGTCTGGTAGCTTTAGGGAAAGTAAATTGGGCTGGAAGGGTGACAAAGCAGGGCCTGCCAAAGATTGTGACCAAACTCTAGATCATATCTAACCTGTGTTCATATTTCAGTTTATTTTCTTGTGTAATCTGAACATAATCTCTATCTTCAGATTTAAATTTAAATTCCCTTTACTTAATTTTCACACAATTTTACACTCAAGCAAATAAGATATTTTAATATAATTTTGCCAAAGAATGAGTGGATTAAGAAAAATTTATGTAGTTAATTCCAATATGCATTTGATTTTTACATTGACCAGTTTTTATGTTGTCAAGGACTCATAATTTCCATACCTTGTGCTATATAGATCAATTTCAAAAATACATTTTTGTAATTTACTTCATATTATCTATTAATAATTTTGATATTTCATGGTATTACCATGTTATTTCTATATTACATATTTATCTCACATGTGGCAGTCTAACAATTGTGTACGAATTAGCTCATGTAAATTTAGGGGGACAGGTGACTGGAAAAGGCATCTAGTTGGATTGATAAGGTATGAGGAGCCATGTTACTCTAGGCTCTTCAGAGAAAGAGAACCAATGAGATAACTATCTATCTATTAAATATCTATCTATCTAATTTATTTTATGGAATTAAAGAGATTGACTCATGCGATTGTGGAGATTGAGAAAACCAATATCTACAGATAGGCCAGCGGGCCTGAGTACAAGGGAAGCTTTGATAATGCAGCTCAGGTCCAAAAGCAGACTACAGGCAGAACTCCCTCTTCTCTTTATGAGGCAGTTTTTTATTCTTAAGGCTCTCAATAGATTGAGTGTAGTCCACCTACATTATAGAGGATAATGTGTTTTAATCAACTCTCCTGATATAAATGTTAATCTCATCCAAAA